ACTGAATTGGACAAGGAAATAGTGAATGCAACCCATAAGTTAAAAGGCTCAATTATTATTGTCTGGTGAACAGTTTTGCTCTCAATAACACGAAGACATCATACAAAGTATTGCTTACTAAATATGAAGCTAACTCCCTAACGACAGGACACTAATGCTGCTCCTTCTGATGACATAAAATTTTACTCAAATATATTTAAGGGAATGATCAAGCTCTGGGAGTTGGGAGGGCCTTTGGAGAGCACGTGGTCTCCCACCCTCGTGTTTACAAACGACTGAACTAATCTCTGACAGGTTAAGTCCCAAGTGAGCCAGGCACAGACAAGAACCCAGGTCTCCTGCCTCTTACTCTGTACTTGTTCCCCCCATAAAACACTCTTTATTAAGTTCATTTAGCGACCAAATATGTTTGTGTAGGTTTTCCCTGTAAGGTTGGGTTTTTGAGGTTACAACCATAGTCATGTGCATTTCCCCCTTTGCTGTTAAATGACACGTTAAAACCAATTTCCCAGGGTCAGCACATCTGGGAAGTCTTCATGACTAAAATCTGGTCTTACAGTTCCAGTGATTTAGACATTCAGATAATTACTACCCTGTGCCTCTCTCCATTTCAATTTCACTACCTTTTCTGAAACTTCAAGTCTTCCTTAAAATTAACCGTCATTGCATTAAGTATTAATTCTCCATCATTTGTTTAAAGTGGATTATGAAAAAGTCTTATAAAAAAAAAGCTTTTTAATGTTTGCCACTGATTATAAAACTCCATCTACAAAATTATGTTAATTTGTGAATGAATAAACTTATAGTCATAATCAAGGTTCAAGTAAACAAATCTGTCAGCCTGAAGTTAAGCTAGGTGGGGAACAGCCAGCCCGGGGGACTAGTGGGATTCAAAATTCGATAAATCTAGGAGTTTTATGGATAGCAACATAAATTTATATTACGTGAATTATATTAAGTGAATGATGTTAGAAAGATCCAAATGGACCTTGGCAGAAAAAAGGTGCAAACATTTACTCTCACAAAGGTTCAAAGATAAAAATCTGTTGACATTTTGGATCTTCCTCATGGAAAAATGGAGCATTTAAATTGAGTACATGCCATTTTCACATTTAAAGAATGAAAAGAGCAGTAGTATAAGATAAATTGCTTCTAAGTGATTTGTCCAGGAGGCGCTTATAGAGTAACATTATCTATAATTTAATAAATTTAAATCGCTGGTGAATTCCCAATCAAACTGCTTGCTTGAAGAGTCTTTATAATCACAGTACTGTGCAGCCCTTAGGACATTCAACTGGTACCATAAACACAATGTCAGCTTGTTGCAGAGAGAATATTACACATTTTTAGGTCACTGCACCAGCTTAATAGATGGGAATTAGGTTGTCAAAGGCCAATTCACCCCTTAAAACAAAAACAATCTCTTTCAAAAGTAACAGTAACAACCAAAAACCTCACAAAATAAAATACATGGGTATAAGGACCAATCTAAAGATAAAACAAACTGCCGAAACCGGTTTGGCTCAGTGGATAGAGCGTTGGCCTGCAGACTGTAAGGTCTCAGGTTGGATTCCAGTCAGGGGCCTATGTGCCTTGGTTATGGGCACATCGCAGTGGGGGGTGTGCAGGAGGCAGCTGATCGATGTTTCTCATCAGTGTTTCTAACTCTATATCTCTCCCTTCCTCTTTGTAAAAAAAAAAAATCAATAAAATATATTTTAAATGATAAAAATAAAGATAAAACAAACTGGTAATGAACAATGCATAAATTTATGTCTGCCATGACTCCTTATAGTGAATTCTTAGCCGAATCTTTATTCTTCTTCAGCTCTGGAGGATGATTATGTTTTGAACAAAATGACGATCACACCTGAATGAAGACAAAGCTGTACAACTCCAACTCATATCACTCAAGAGCTAGTCACCCTCTTGTCTCTAAACTCCCCTTCTAGGTTTGCAGGCTCCACTCTCTACCCCTTTAGGGTTCAGTTCTGTACCAGCACGTCCCACCAGAGCCTCGGGAAGAGTGGAAAGAATCTCAAAAGAAATCCATTTCAACCTCCTAGGATTCTAAGGATTCCTAAGTAAACAGTCTCTGACTTTTAAGTTTTAAGCAAGGTTCCTTTCTCTTTGAAGTCTTTGAGAATCTGATAAGATATATGAGTTCAGAATCACATACCCAAACACAAAAATGCACTACATTTTGACTAAAAATGTCAGAGGGCATGCAGGTCCCTTGTTAAAGTATCTCCTCTTCTGATTATGAATTTCTCCATTACAGTGTTTGGTTATTGGAACTCTGAAATTCTTTTTCTTTTCTTTTAATTCTCACCTGAGGATATTTTTCCATTGATTTTTAGAGAGAGTGGGAGAGAGAGGGAGAGACAGAAACATCAATGTGAGAGAAACACATCGATTGGTTGCCTCCTGCACATCCCCCGTGCCCACCTCGCTTCACCAAGGTACGTGCCCTTGACCGGAATAGGCTGGGACCCTTGGGTCCATAGGCCGACACTATCTACTGAGCCAAACCAGCTAGGGCATGAAATTCTATTTAATTTAAAAAAAAATAAATCATCCTATATAATAAAAGGCTAATATGCAAATTGTCCCCACAGGCAAGAGTTCCACCGACTGGGAGGTGGCACAGAACATGACAGGCATCAGCACAGCGCTGGCCTCAATTGCCCCACCAGTCGCCCCACAGATTGGTCCTGATCACCAGCCAGGCCTAGGGACCCTCAGTGCACCGGGCTTCTAGTCTAAAATAAAACAACCTAAACACAGAATTTGAGTGAAGGCAAATAAGACTTTGCTTGCTGCCCCCGGCTGGATGACAGTTTTAATTTACTTGGGGCTTTCTGTGTGACTCGTGGAACAAAAAGACAACCATAAAAATGAAATTAAAAAATACTGTTTAAAATGTATATTAAAGAAAGCATTCTTACAATATTACCAGTTCCCCGTAAACAAACTAATAAGAGTTCAAAAGAGACATTCGTTTTTATTCTTTTCCTCTTCCTCCTTATGGATGATGGAGAACCAGCAGGAATAGCCTAACAACCTGGCAAGGCAAGTTCATCTTCCCCTCTTCTGTAAGTCCAGGTGAAGTCTATCCATCACCAGGATGTCTAGCTGAATTCTATTCCCAAGATACACAACTACAGCTTGTTCCGCTATAAATACGGTAATGAAAAGCTTTACTTGAGCTTTGTTATTTCTGATTAGGAAGAAAAAAATAAATAAAGGCAACGGAAAATAAGATTTAATAATGGGCAACAGATGAATATCGATGGTGTCTTTTAAGCAGTAAGAATGCTTCAGGTTAATATTCATTCTTTTCTGCTCTAAAGAGTTCTTAAGTAGCTTTACTGCAGAGAAACAGCTGAAATCTGAAAGTCATGTGAGAGCTGACAAGAGGAAGAGAGGAAGGAAGCACTTTTGGGTAGAAGGACTACTAAATAGCTGATGCAAGAAATAGGGAGCCCTGTAGTTTGAGGAACCTAAAAGGCCTACTACTGAGGAGGCTGGAGAGACAGCCAGAACCTCTAAGGATCCATAGGCCAAACTACCACTTGCCCCTAAGTGATTTCCCAATTACTGTCGTGGTGCCCGTTTCCTGCTATTCTATCCTATAAAAGCAGGTCACCTGACTTCTAAGAACGTAAGCTCTGGTTATCTGAGTTCTAAGAATTTAAGTTCCTCCCAAAGAAACTAAATGGCTATTTTTACTTGGGATGGTTTTAGAAAAAACACAAACCAACCTGTAAGCATTCTCAGCAGCCTGGTGTTTCTGCCTTGCAGAAAATGTTGCTCACCGTTAGTTAAAAACAAAACACAGGAAGGAGCTCAATGTATGTAAAAGGAATTAAAACTTAAATCGCAAAGGTGTTTTGGCATTTTCACTAGTAAGTTAAAGGTTACCTTCACTGCCTACAGAAAACTAAAATTCGATGAAACGGAAAACACCGTGCCTTCGTTCTGCCACCTGCCCTCTCACACAAAAGGCTGTCCTTTTGAATTTGTATTTCGTTCACGTGTGTTGCCCATGCAGAAGCGGTTCTTTTCCAATCCATAGAAAACTTTTGGGAGGCAATTTATTTTTTTTAATACATTTTATTTTTAAAATATACTTTATTACTTTTTTACAGAGAGGAAGGGGGAGGAATAGAGAGTTAGAAACATCGATGAGAGAGAAACATCGATCAGCTACCTCCTGCACACCTCTCAGTGGGGATGTATGTGCCCGCAACCAAGGTACATGCCTTTGACCGGAATCGAACCCGGGACCCTTCAGTCCGCAGGCCGACGCTCTATCCAGGAGCCAAACCAGTCAGGTTGGGAGGCAATTTATCGAACGCACACATCCCAATGCCAGTGCGGGTCCATCAGATGACACGGACCCCATGGGCTCGCGCCAGGAAAACCGCAAGAACCCGGGAAAGATAAAAAGCACTTGGCAGTCTAAATTCAGGTCCTTTGGGAGAAAAAGCAGAGGAACAGCGGGGGGCGGGGAGGGGAGAAACAAAGGTGGCTACAGAGTCAAGGAGAAGTCCAAGTTAAGTCTGTATCACCAACATTTCTAGCTGTATTCTATTCTGAACATACACAATTATAGTTTGTTCAACTATAAACAAAGTAATGAAAAACTTTACTTGAGCTTTGCTATTTCTGATTTTAGGAATAACAGAAATAAAGGCAATTGAAAATAGATGTAATGGGCACCAACAGATGACTATCGACGGCGTCTTTTAAGCAGTGAGAGTGCTTCCGATTAGTAGGAATTCTTTCCTGGAGCCGCCTACCGCGTTCAGCGGCCCCCCATCGCCGCCGGGGACCCACCTGGGGGCCAGGGACCCCCCCATCGCCGCCGGGGTGGCGGCCGCTGGGACCCGAGTATGGAAACGCCGGGCGGCCTCCCCAGCCCACAGGCCGAGGGCCCAGGATCGGGCCCGGAGCCCTCCCCGCCGCCCGGCCCGCTCACCCCGGCCGGGACTTACCAGCTGCAAGCCCTTGAGCACGCGCTGGGGCACGGGCAGCCGTCCCAGGTTGCAGTAGGCGGCGAGGCCGCTGCGGGCGCCCCTGGCCGGGCCCGGGTCCTCCTCGGTGGTGGGGCGGTACACGGCTCCGTTCTCCATCGCCCAGGCCGGGGAACACAGCGACCGACCGCGGCGATGGTGGTGGTGCGGACTTCACCGACTCCAGGCGCCCCCCCCTGGGTGGAGCCGTCACTTCCGTTCCGGGGCCTCCGCCTGGCCACACCCCTTCCTCGGCCCCGCCCCGCCCCCGCCCCCTGACGCCGATAGGCCTTTCCCACTCGTCACGCGCCCCGTAGAGATCTGGGGATCCCCCGCTGGGTGACTCAGCTGAGAGCCTGGGCTCCACCGGCCAAGGTTGTGGGTTTGATCCCCAGCCCGGCTTGTACGAGAATCAAACAATGAGCCGAAACCGGTTTGGCTCCGTGGTAGAGCGTCGGCCTGCGGACTGAAAGGTCCCGGGTTTGATTCCAGTCCAAGGGCATGTATCTTGGTTGTGGGCACATCCCCCGTGGGGGGTGTGCAAGAGGCAGCTGGTCGATGTTTCTAGCTCTCTCTTTCTTTCTCTTTCTCTTTCTCTTTCTCTCTGTCTCTTTCTCTCTTTCTCTTTCTCTCTCTCTCTCTCTCTCTCTCTCTCTCTCTCTCTCTCTCTCTCTCGCAAGAGGCAGCTGGTCAATGTTTCTAGCTCTCTCTCTCTCCCTTCCTCTGTAAAAAATCAATAAAATATATTATTTTAAAAAAATTTTTTAAAGTAGTCATCCATTAAAAAAAAATCAAACAATGAATGCATAAATAAGTGGGAACAGCAAATCAATGTTTCTCTCTCTCTCAAAACTCAATTTAAAAATATAAATAAACAAAAGATCTGGGGAAAGGGGAAAAAAAAGATCTCAGGAGAGACTTTCACAGGAATAGCAGGTACACAGATCCTGCTCATTCTGAAACCAAAGACTAAGCCAGGGAGAAGGAGAGATGAAATTGGAGATGTAGGCAAAGGCCAGATCATGTAGGGGCCTCTAGGGAACCCTAAAGGGCAAGTGAAGAAATTGGAGTGAAGTGGAATGGGTTGTCTGGAAGGACTTTGAGGCATATTACCTTCTGCATCTCTTAATTTCTTGTAGGTTTATTCATCAACATCATTTAGTTTAGTTTTTCTTGTTCAGCTGCTGCAATCATTAATTTTCTGTGAATTTATGGAAACTCATCAAGGAATGTAATTATATTTTAGCACCAGAAACTGATTAAATTACATGAGGCACACATACTTTTCTCCACGCCAATATAATGTAGGTACTATCATTGTTCCATTTTACAGATGAAATAAGTGAGGCCAAAAGTCTGAGGATCATATCCCAGATCAAACATCTAGGGGCAGTGGGAATGAAAGACTAGGGTACTTGGAATCTTGCGGTTGACAATTAAGCCAGCAAAACCTCAACTTCTAACCCATCCTTCCATGGAAGAGGGGAGGGGTAACTGCTGCCACCTTCCTCCACGCTTATCTTCTCTCCCAAACCTCCCTTTTTTCTTCCAGAAACAAAACAAAAGCTCTCATTCAAATGAATAGAGACAAGTAGACATTACTTAGCAGGGGTTGTGTACAGCCAGCCAAAGCTATCCTTCTGTCTTTGATTAAATGTATTCTAAATGTGCTGTGAGGCCAAGCAGTCACTGATTCTGTCCGATAAAATGAAGCCACTGTGTTTTCACCAAGGCTACAAGGATTCAGTCCTGTTCTTCAAGTCACCACCATCCCAAATGAGACACTACTGACATCTGAAATTTATTGATGGATAAAAGGATAGACTTGTAGTAAAGCCATAGCTTATTCTGAGTGTTTGAACATTGTCAAAATAAAACATCGAGTAAAAGTTATTAAAAAAAAAAAAAAAAAAAAGGACACTTTGAGTCAGGAGAGAAGATAAGCAGTCTCTCAACCCTCTTGGTTTAAGTACACTTCGGCAATTCTTATAGGGGTCTCTGCTTTTGTTTGAAATTAGAAAAGGAAAAAAAATTTACAAACTTCAGGATGTATAAGAATCATCTGGGTGTTTAACGAAAAAAAGATTCTTAGCCGAAACCGGGTTGGCTCAGCGGTAGAGCGTTGGTCTGCGGACTGGGGGGTCCCAGGTTCGATTCCGATCAAGGGCATGTACCTTGGTTGCAGGCACATCCCCAGTGGGGGGTGTGCAGGAGGCAGCTGGTCGATGTTTCTCTCTCATCGACATTTCTAGCTCTCTATCTCTCTCCCTTCCTCTCTGTAAAAAAAAAATAAAAATATATAGTAAAAAAAAAAAAAAAAAAAAAAAAAAAAAAAAAAAAAAGATTCTTAGAAATCCAGCTCCAATCTGGCCATTGTGGTTCAGTGGTTGAACGTTGACCTATGGGCCAGGAGGTCATGGTTGGATTCTGGGACAGGGCACATGCCCAGGTTGCAGACTCATTCCCCAGTGTGAGGTGCAAAGAAAGCAGCAAATTCCTTACTCTCTCATCATTGATGTTTCTTCTTCTTCTTCTCTTAAATCGATAAAATTTTTTTTAAAAGACAGAAAGAAACCCAATTCCCAATTTGGGTAGGGCTTGAAACTTTTTTGTAAGAAGCTCTCCAGATGATATTCATGAGAAATCCATTCATATGAAGGAACACTATATTTTAATGTGATCAGAATGAAAGCCAGTAGGTAAGAGACAGCAAATGTGCCATAACTTCCTTTGCCTTAATAGATTTGGGGTACCCAAAATTTAGAAACTAATATCCCTCCCAGTTAAAAAAAAAAAGAATGCATCACTTATTTTTTTTAATGAAATAAAAAGCCAGATAAAGACTATAGGGCTTCATGAACAAAACACTTGTATCAAGGAGTCCTTTTGATGGATGTGTCCACACAGAAAACTGTCATCTTCACTAATGAATACACAACACGGAATAATTAAACGCTGGGACTTGCCACAGTGAAATGAGAAACCTTGTTTATGGAGAAAAGATACATCAAATAGAAAAAAAGATTCACTTAAGTTTTGAAGAACATTCATTTTCCTCTTTTAATATTAAATAACTAATATTGTTAAATGTGAGAAAAGTCACAAAAAGCTTAGGAAAACTTATGAGATTTTATACATTCAAAAAATAATTTGGTACGACTTTTTTCAGTTGAGATTTTAATTTTTCAATGGCTCCTACTCAAAAATTTCACTGGCTCTTAGCAGTATTAGCACAGATAGGTAACAATGTGAATACAAAGTTGGGTCCTAAAGACTGTCTTACAATGAGACCATAGAAACTTCCCTAAAGGACTATGTCTCAAAATAGAAAGTGATGTGCACCATAAGAGAGATACAAACTAAATGTGTTGGGGATTCACAGCAGAAAGATAAGAGGATCAGCATGAGGTGGGAGAGAGCTTCAAACTGGGAGTTCAGGAATGGTTTGGACATGCAGAAACAGGAAGGGGCAACTTGAAGGAAGGTAATGAAAGTGCATACTGGCACAGGTTGTGGAGATTATTATTAAGGACAAGATACGGTTAAGGTCCGACTTTGGAAGGCTTTCCTTTGCGGTTGAACAGGGAGGATTTTGTGTAGGAAAGTGAAATGGCCCGAGATTTTCCTTGGGAATATTTTCCAGCAGACTTGTGTAGACTGGATTGATTACAAAGAGCCAGGTAGGGTTGTAAAATTCAGGAAAGGGCATAGGGGTTTAAATTTAGGCTTTAGTCAGGGCAACAGAGGGGATGGTTCCAAGAAAAGCTGTGGGTGATAAAATTAGTGAGAATGGACCAGTGTGTTTGATCACCTGAATCACATGGCAGGCCATAGATTTCTGGACCTCACCCCCCAAGTTTCTGACTCAATAGATGTGTGATGTAAAGCCAAAAAAAAAAAAAAAAAAAAAAAAAAAAAGTCTTGTTTTCTTTGTCTACATTTCCAAACAACTCAGAATGGACAAGGGTGCCAGGGAAACAAAGAGAAGTTTGGATCGGACTTTTTCCAGAGGTTAGTTTACCAAACCTCCTCTCCTAACTAAATTAGCCTTGAGGATAAGCAAACAAAATCATCCATCTCAGGTTCATTTATACCACCAGAGGGCCACAGTGGCAAAGGAATGTTCACAATGCCTTTTGTCCTAGGGTTTCTGCACTCGTTCATGCCTAAGTGGTATTTGGGAATAGGGAAAGACTATGGATCACTTAGTCTCCTTGCTTCTATAATGTTAGTTGTCCTTTAAACAGTCTCATTATGTGTGAGCGATGTAATAAAGAAAGGTGGGGTCTTCTGATTTCTTGGGGCAGTGAGGGTGGGGCCCAGTTTGGTATCTGGATGACAGGGAATCCTGTCACTAGGCAACCCTGACACAGAGCTTTGTCATTTCTATATATAGAAAAGGGTCTTCAATTTTTCCTCAGTTGACTAAACATTATTTTTTTGAAATGTGAAACACTGATAAAGGTTCCAGAAGTGAAAAAAACATACAAAGAGGCACACACACACAAAACGTAACTTACCTATGGCTTTGGACAGTGGTTGGTTGGTTGATGGGTGGGTGGGTAAGCATTCTCCCGAGACACACAGGGAGCTGGGGTACCAGTAATGTAGTTTTTCTTGATCATGCTGTTGGTTATATGTGATCACTGTATGGTATTTCATGCTATACTCCTATAACTTCTACTTCTCTGTAATGTATACTTCAATAAAAACTGCTTTAAAAAAAAAAGCTTAAAATCAAATTTCCTTGCAAAATTGAGACATAGGTTTTAGGCTTAAATATGGTAAACACAAGGTTTTAGATTAGTTAAAACGAATCTCATATAAAGGGAACAATTACAGTTATTTCAAGTAACAACTCAATTATTCATTTCAAGGATTTTCTAATACAACTCCAATGTCTTACAGAAAAAACGAGTTGGTCTAAACAAACAAACATAGCAGGCATAGTAAAGCAGAGCTTGATATACAGTCTATAATTTTCTTCCCTTCATTAGCTTTACTTACTTGATATCAAGTGCTAGTTTAGAAAAATTGGTCTTTACAACACCATGATTATACACTTTCTGGACTAAAAATTTTATCAGTGGCATTTTTCATCTCATGTTTATCAAGCATATTTTTTTCCATGCCCTGACAAACTAAATTTTTTCCACATTGAAACAAATTATTACCCTCATATATTTTTAGCATTTATACTCAACTATTAGGAGCCAAATATTATTATAAAACTAAACAGACTTTAAGGTTCTAATGCAAGTATTATGTGAACTGGTATCCTTCAACATTTTGCTAGGGGGGTAAAAAATCTTTGAATTATGTATTTTAAAGTACTAACAAAGCCCAATTTAAAATATAGTAACACATTTTCCAATTATCTGAAATGACTCAACGGTCAAATGTATAAGTGTTCTTTAGGTGAACTTCAATAAGATGAAATTGTTCTTATGAAGTTTCTAAAACAAGCACTGAAGCCAAAACCGATTTGGCTCAGTGGATAGAGCGTCGGCCTGTGGACTGAAAGTTCCCGGGTTCGATTCCAGTCAAGGGCATGTATCTTGGTTGTGGGCACATCTCCAGTAGGGTGTGTGCTAAAGGCAGCTGATCGATGATTTGCTCTCATCGACGTTTCTAACTCTCTATCCCTCTCTCTTCCTCTCTATAAAAAGAAAAAAATCAATAAAATATATATTAAAAAATAATAATAATAAATTAAAAATAAATAAATAAAAAAAACCAAGCACTGAAAACTACATATTGAAAAAGTAGAACTACTAACAGGTGTTCTCACCTCTACAAGAGTAGCTATGTGTCAGTGCATTTGACAAGCTTTTAAAAACAGCTTCTGTGCATTAATTAATGATACAAGGCTATATTTTTATCTACTAAGAATGCTGGCACAGGATTCTGCAGTTCAAGACATGTGGGAAAGGTTTGTTGATCAAGATAAACTCCCAATTTAAGCAAACTTATAAAGATACTGAATCTCATGTACTCAGTCTCTTAGAAACAGGTAGAAAAATCAGAATGCTTAATAACCCTAATTAATCAAACACTTAAAAAAATTTAAATATAAGAGAATGCAACAAGTTATTTGAACCTGAATGCAGAGAATAAATACTTTATTAACTGATTACAATTGAAAGTCACAAACAAAAAAGGGGTGTATTAAGGCAGAGCCATATATATACACATATATATATGACATACATATATATGACATATATATATAGACAGATCCAAAGACTGTTACCGCTTTACATTAATAACCTCTGCATTTTTCTTTTACACATTTAGGCAGTGTGCTTTCTTTTCTTCTCAAAGAAATGAATCTTGACCAATATTTTAAATTGTATTTTGATAACAACTTACAGGATCATTGATTTAGACAATGACTAGTGTATCAAATGCTATCTGATAGTTTTCTCAGCATATTCCATTTGTGGTGGTATATTTATATCGGTGTGGAAAATTTGATAATCATCTTTTTCCAGTAAAGCTAACACATAATTTTTAAAAATGATTTTGAATAGTCTTAATTAAAATAAGCTTGAATTTCCAAGTCAGTCAAATGCCCAAAGCATATTGTTTTCTGCCCTTCCCTAAACCTTCCTGTATGTTTTAAGTAGCCTTTAGAATATGATCACCTGGTTGAATTTCATATCTATAAGTTTTGAGTTTTTTAAAATCCAAACTTCCTTATGCAAAGTGGCAATGCAAATAACAATCCTACATAGGGAAGAATAATTTTTCTTCTGTATAGCTTCCTTTTATAAAAATGGGCAAAAAAAAAAAAAAAAAAAAAGTAAGTTTAGTCCATCTGACAAAGCACTGAAGCTCCCTAATTCCACTCTTGAAGGAAAAGGCAGAGGCAAGTTTACATTATCCCAGAAAACTGAATAAATGGCTTTATTTGGTATCTTCAAGAAGCTTCTCCTTCCGTAGGAGATGTTGGTGATGTAGGAGAAACTGTGACTGGTTTTCGTGTAATTCTGTCTAGTTCCGCATGAACATCTGATAGGACAGGCTTCTGGCCTACAGAGAAATGAGATTTAGATATAACTAATAGTATCTTTTATAGCAATGTCTCTTTATTAAAGAAACTGCCAATGGTTTCATTAATTTTATGTAGCATACTAACGTAAAAAACATTATAATATAAACGAAGCCACTTTAAAATGAAGTCAGAGCTTTGGTCCAAGAGGATATCTCCAACCTTTGGAATGTTAAAATAGGGCAAAATAATCTTTGATTGGGCCTAAAGCAGCACTGTATCCCAAACAACTGTGTGTAAAGACAACAGAAAATCAGACTGTTATAGCTACAGGACTGAAGATTAAAAACATTCTTTAGAATTAGCATCACTATGTTAGCTTATCTGTATTTATAGAATTGCCTTCTAGAAGCTGACATAATTGAGTAGTTGATGGAATTGTTCCCATTCCCTTTCTCATAAATATTCCTAATCCCCCTGGCCTCTGTCTCCTAAAACTATTTAGGTTTCTGACTGAATCAGTGCTTCCTGACTAGCTACTCTTTTGGATCTCAAATAAATGCTATTGTCTCTCATTTGGTCTTTTATTTTTAGGTTAACATTAAGTGACAAAAATATTCTAATTTAAAAATAAATTCCCTCATTTTAAATTGTGGTGTCTGAATGGAAGTAAAAACTATCACCTATCAGTTAATCTCATAAAGATATTTTCAAAAAAGGCATAGGACAATAAGAACAGTAAAATAGAAAATAAAATTTTGAAATCCAGAAAGAAGATGGATTAGTGATAACTAAATTAGCAGTACTGAGAAACTTAATCTTCTACATTGTCCATAAGAAAAGCCAAAGAGTAATTCAATTTATATCCAAAGGTTCAAAAACATGGTAGTTGCAGGCATTTGTGACAACCCCTCCCCTGACCCCATGCACGAATTTCGTGCACTGGGCCTCTAGTTGAAACATAAAAGGACCTTGAAAACATTGTTAAGGAAGCCATATTCATATGAAATCTCCTATCAGCAAGTCCACATAAACAGAAATCAGATTAGTGTCACCTAGGACTAAGGGCTTCAGGAGAGGGAAGGAGTAACTGCTATTAGGTTGGAGGTTTCTTTCTGGGGAGATGAAAATATTCTAAAATTAGATTATAGTGATGATTTGCATAACTCTGTATCTATACTAACACTATTGAACTGTATACTTTAAATGAATGAACTTCACAGTATGTAAATTATACCTCCATAAAGCTGTTTCATTAAAAGAGAGAGAGAGAGAGAGAGAGAGCGAGCGCGCGCGCGCGCGCGCGCGCGCACGCATGCGCGTGCAAGTGCGCGCTCCGGTAACTATACCTGACTTTTTGGCAGATGGTGGTAAACCACTGCTTCCACCTCCAGCCCCAGCTCCAGGGCTGCCACCACCAACATTGGGGCCTCCCGGAGAACCAGTCTTTTTACTCAGCAAACTATTGAAGAAATTTGCCAGGACACCTTCACTTGTAGCTCCAGCTATAGAACAAAAAATAGAAACTTTCAATCAAAACATCAGATTTTTCTACAAATTATTATTTTAGTAATCACACACAGGAAATGAAGACTAAACTTGAAATTTAAGAACTGTATGTTCCAAATTCAAGTCTACTTTGATCTTAGAGCCTAATCTACTCATCTAGAACAAAATATTAGAATGTTATTTTAAAAAGACCAAAGGCATATTAAACAGATATTAGTTGCTATATATCTCTGCTTTGAAAGAGGTTCTTTAAAAATATGTTGAAAAATATCTGCCTCAAGTATTAAAAAAAATCTTAATACCGCTAGATGATTATGCATATAGTTTTTCATGTTAATTGCAGGAAACCTATTATTATAAAAATATTAATTTTTTTAATGACCTACCATAGGAGAATGATTAAATAAACACAAAGCTATCATAAAGCTTCCACCATATAAATAACATATTAAAATGGTTTTCAGACTGATTAACTATCAGATTATATCTATAGAGACAAAGATTAGAAGCTATTGCACAAAAACTGCTATGGTAAAAAAGGATTCTATGTAGATTCTTTCTACTGAAAACGTACTATGTTGTTTTCTCCAATAAAAAGAAGAAATGTACCTTTCATGTTTGGATCAATTTTTTTTGACCCAGCAGGGATGGGTGACACGCTAGCAACATTGGATGACACTGATCTGTTTGGTGTTCGAGGGGAGCCTCCTGGAACTCTTGGTGAAGAATCCTGTGTAATAGGAAAGCCATAATTATAAAAACTGGAAACTTTCAACTTCACAAAAGCTCTTATTATAAACTAGAAGCCCAATGCACCAAATTCGTGCAAGGGCCTTGGCCCTCTCCCCCGCCCACCACCACTGCTGCCTCAGCAGGGGGCCTCTCCCATAGCCCCCGCCCGCTACAGCTTTGTCTGAAAGGAAGGACATCCAGAAGGACGTCTGGTCTAATTAGCATATTATGCTTTTATTATTATAGAAGAAATTACTTTGCAACTGTACCCCATCTGTTTTCTTACACTGCAAACCAGTGACAAACTGTTTAGCAATCTCTGTCCTCTGATAAGGACAGGAAAAAAGGCCCTTTTCTTTGCTGTGGTCTTCCACAACTTATGAAAAGTACCTGGTAATTAAATCCCAGTATTTTTAGCTCCTTTGATTCAGACAGCCCCTCTATTCAAACTGCAAGACAAGATAAGCTACTCTCAAGGCTAGATTCTTGCATTCCCTCTCCTCCCTGCTGTTTTTACAACTCAGGGATAATTCACACCAAGGAGTCTCTAGTTAGTAGACAGTTCCCTTGCCTCTTCCCCTTCAAACAAGCCTCTTTTGAACTCTTCATAACTTTTCCTCTAAGCATGCTTTACAGCAGTAGCTCCCAATGTGGAAGTGATCCTAAAAATAAAATGCTCTATAGAGGGACAATTTGATTGTTATGGGGGCAATTTGAGAATTATTAAGTTAATTTTTTGCATTTCTTATGGTTATAGAGGCCTCATATACAGTGTGTGTGTGTGTGTGTGTGTGTGTGTATTATATATATATATTGTGACATATTTATGCATTTCAGTTATCTATGTTTTCAATCTTTTTTTAAAATATATTTTATTGATTTTTTACAGAAAGGAAGGGAGAGAGCTAGAGAGCTAGAAACGTCGATGAGAGAGAAACATCGACCAGCTGCCTCCTGCACACCCCCCATGGGGGATGTGCCCGCAACCAATGTACATGCCCCTGACCAGAATCGAACCCGGGACCCTTCAGTCCGCAGACCGACGCTCTACCACTGAGCCAAACCAGCTTCGGCTGTTTTCAATTTTTATTTGCTATTTTTTCATATCATTTCATTATTATTTTTCAACAATTTCTTATGTTTTCTTCCTCAGTACTTCAACTGTCCTTTCATTCTTTTATTTTTCTCTTTTATTGGTGCCATGTTCTTTGGAAGCTTGTTTAGACCAAGTTAATGGCCTTTTAGGCTTCCTCCGAGTGAGCATGAGTTCACTTTTTGAATAAGAATTATATGTCAGAAGGTGGACATCTAGAGTTTAGAGATGCTTAGGTGGGGCATGGCCCCCCCAAAAAAAGGTTGAGAAACCCACTTTATAGGCTTAGGAAAAATACTAATAAGACACATCTGTCCCCATCTCCTGAAAAACAAACTATATTTTCAAGACAACCTCCTTGATGTCTGCTCAGCTTCAACCCCAAATCCTCCTCCCTTTCTTGTCACCTAGCAACAGCAGCCATTACTCTTTAAAAGGGGAAGGTACTCTTTATTTCTTTCCCTGTATTGATTAGCAATGCACCAGGACTTTCCCTTCTGGGAAAATAAAATGAACTTCCTCTCTGCATCTCTTCTTTTGGTTGTAAATTCATTCACTGGCCAAACCCTAACATCTTCATTATTAGAAAATACTAAAGTCCCTTCACATTTTAGAATACTAATTTTCCCTTCAATGGAAAAAAGAAAATATATTGAGTAATGAAGGGTGATTACTGGCATAAGTTTGAGAGTCAGATCCGGGTTTCAATGTGGACTTACACCCTACCAGCTGCATAATCTTAGGGAAGCCAGTGTCCTTCAAAGCTTCCATTTCCCCCAGTACAAAATGGGGCTAATAATAGTTCCTACCTCATAGGGCTGTTGTGAGGATTTCTAAAATAATACATATAAATGGTTCAAAACTGATGCATAACAAACACTGCAAAATAGATCTTTACCATTTAAGTAATCTAAAAGGGAGTAAAATTTATCTTTTAAAAACTCTCACAAATTCCAGAAGAATTCTTAATTCACGTTTATATTAAAGCACTCATGTCTATGCTTTAAGAAATCAAGAACTAAAGCAGTATGTACTGCATTTTAATAATTTTGTCAAAAATCTGTAATACTGACCACAGGCCGCCCAGCTGCAGTTGGTGGTTGCTTTGCTAAAAGGGTCTGAAAAAAATTACAACAGAATTCTAGGTTAGATACTCATATAACATGTATTCTATTTTTTTTTTTTTTAATCCTCACCTGAGGATATTTTCTCAATGATTTTAGAGAGAGTGGAAGAGAGAAGCATCCATGTAAGAGAAGTACATCTATTGGTTGCCTCCTCCACGAGTCCTGACCAGGGTCCAGGCTGGGGACGAGCCTGCAACTCAGATACGTGCCCTTGACCAGAATTGAACCCAGAACCCTTTAGTCGGCAGGCCAACGGTTATCCACTAAGCCAAACTGGCTAGGGCTCTATTCTATTTTTAAATAAACTATATACAATAACAGTTTACCCATTAACCACACTAAGTCTGTTTATGATGTAATTTCATACCTGTAGCTTCATAAGAAATACTTGGTCATCTTCTGCCATAATTTCCTTCTCATGCACAAACTGAAATGAGCAATGCATAAATGAGCAAGTCTAGAAGCAGTAGAAGCAGAAACATTTGCAACTCATTTTTCCTAATTATACAGCAGACAGAAGAGCCATCACATTCTTATTTCAGAGAAACCAGGAGCAAGTGGCTTTTCATGCACACATGGTCTATTTTCCACCAGTTGCCAGAGTGATCCTTTTAAAAGGTTAGATCAGATTACATCACTCTTCTACTCAAATGGCCCCTCCAAGCACTTTCCATCCCTCTAAGAATGAAATCCAAAGTACTTTCTGCAGCCCCAGTGAGGCCCCAAAAGACCTTAACTCTGTCTTTCATCTTCTTACCCGTTGGGCATTCCTGCCTCTGGGCACGTGCACTTCAGGTTCCCTCACCTTCACCACTCTCCCCTCTTACCACGGACATTCCCTACCCATTTCAACAACAGCATGCCTCTGGTCCCCCTCTGGTTTCTCCCCTCTGCTTCACTTGCAGAGCACTTCTGACTACTTGAGAGCTGGCCCATGTATTGATTTACTGTTACATCACACCCTCCTAGATATTAGCACCTAGTGTCTAAACATGGCTCGATCAAGACAACTAAAACAAAGCCCAATTTGTTGGTAAAAGAAAAACCAGGGGAAACCATTGCTTTTTGATGTGTGCATTTTTTTAATAGACATTCAAACCAAATACCACATCAACTGATTTTTCATTTGACATTACTTTTCTTTTTCCTGATTACCCACAGAAGACAGCTGCTGAATGTACATGGATTCTTAAGTAAGACTCTTAATGTATGTTAGATCAAAATTACTTTTTCTTTAAACATACAAATTCAAATTAGTGAGAAGCACTATGTACAACTTTTCAGAAATATCTGTAATATCTAACTATGGGACACCATGAACTGCTTAACATGAAATTAAGATATATGAAGAAAAAGTACCTTCTGGAACCCAATTTAACAGTCATAAGAGTGACATGTAATAGTCAAGACTCTAGGTTAGAAAGTTCACAGCTTCTACCTATTCAAACTGTTCAAGATCCATATACTCACACTAATCTGTGATTTCCGTTAAAATATGAACTCTGAACTAATATTTTCTAATACAAATATGCCAAAGACTAAGGCATGATTCAGTAACTGAATAGTTGCTTTATGTTCTGATAAAACAGATCTTTATTTTGAATGACACATTATCAACACCCAAATTGCACCCAGAAACCTCTTTGAAAGGATAAAACACTTTTATCTTTCTACCTTAAAATCTTAAAATTATGGACTTCCCCCTCAGTTTAAAGGCATAAGTATTGAGACTATAGGTGTATATACTAAAACTGTTACCTTCCGAACAGGTGGTTTAGTTATAATGTCTTCAAAATTATCTTCTGCTTTTAGTGTTTGAAAATTTTCATGTAATATTCCTATTTTCTTATCATTATCCCACCCCGCTGGACTGGAAAGAAACACACATGAGAAATTTTCAAGCATTTATGTAGTCATTCTTTTCATTTAAGCCATGATCAGCTTAACAGGAACATTTTTATGAAAATAAATTTGACCAATTATGGAAAACTAATCAGCTTTTTAAATTATAGGGCTCAAGTTATGGTTTACTAAATCACCTCCCAATTTTATTCAGGTAACTTTTAAAAATCATATCTAAATTATACACTGGGTGCTTTATGTTATATCAGAACCATTTTAAGAGTAAGTAGATATACTGATATATACACGCAATAGATAGCAATAACATGGCCTTTCGAAGAGGGCTCAGGCCAGCAGTAAATCTAAAAGATAATGATAAATAGGTCAGGGCAGGTTATAAATAAAACAGTCTAGGGACAGATTCTCACCTACTCATCATGCAAAGGTCTCTACTGGTCTCACCTCAAAACTGAAAATGACTCACCATCATGGAGCAACAAATATGTGACAAAATAATATATTTAAGAGCATACTTACATAAATACTGCATCTTTTTCCACCACCACAGCAGGAATCTTATACGGAAATCCATATAGTTTCTGGACGATGTATTTATATACTAAATCTATATTTTTGTTTTCTTTTACTGACGTGTAAATAAGTGCTGCACCATCTGAATAGAACCATTAAAGAAATTTCTGGACAAATTCCACAAACAGGTCATAAAGTTCTTGTTCTCAGCCTAACATTCACAGCTACATAATTTATTCATTTCAAAAATAATGTCTAAAGGTATATCATTGAATATTTCAAAAGTATAAAATATTTAAATGCAGACTAAAAGGCAAATAAAACATTTTATAATAAGCTATGCTATATATAATAATAAAAGCCTAACATGCAAATTGACCGAATGGCAGAACTACTGGTAGAATGACATGCACTGACCACCAGGGGGCAGATGGTCAACGCAGAAACTACCCCCAGCGCACCGGCCCCAGACCAGCCAAGGCAGGTGCCAGCAGGGGCTCCCTGATTGCCCTGCCTGTTGCCCTGCAGAGGGAGGTGACCAGCTGCGGTGGCGATGAGCAGGGAGCACCAGGCTGGCCAAGGCGGGTACCAGCATGCCCACCCCCCTCAATCACTCCACAGATTGGCCCGGATGCCAGCCAGACCTAGGCTCCTTACCCATGCACGAATTTTGTGCATCAGGCATCTAGTTATAAAATAAAACCAAAAGTCTCATTAAGCCAAAAAGGAAAAGGTAAATTTAGTAATACTGACACTACTACTACCTATATTTAAAGCACATGAAGAGGCAATTGCTTTGTTAAATTTCATGAAGGGGTATTATTTACCAACAACTGTTTTGTTTGCCTTTTCAACAAAAATGGTTTGCACAAGTATCTCTTGTGATTTTTACTAGTTCCAGGAATGAGGACTTCAGGGACAAAGCTCCAGAGACCCACAAAAAAGAGAAGATGAACCAATAGGTATTACCAGGAAGCTTTCAGAAATGATCCAAGGCAAAGTAAATTTCAGGGCCAAAACTTAAGCTAAGACAATCTCACATGATATATTAATTAAAGCAGATCATAACTTTTACCCAAACAATATGATAAATTGAAAGAGGCCTGTGAAAAAAAGGGTCAGTGTGACTACTAACAGTGTGGTCAGAGAGGCTATCAGAAATTCTATGACACTGGCCATGGAAAGAGATGGTAATTTATGCCAAAGGAAATGCTGGAAATGGGCTGACTTCTGATCTGAGACATGCATATTTGCTAGGACATGAACCTAAAAGTGGTATTACTAAATACTAGTTAGCATAAATCTTGGTAGAAATAAATATCATAGTCTTAATTAAAAGCTTAATTGTGTAAATTTTTTATTAATGATCTTTCTCATGTGAACCAATTTATAATTTGAAAGATGTCTACAGTTGAAAAATACACACTGCAATTAAAATTTTAAAAATAAAGATGATTTTGAACTGTTGCCCTCACTCATTAACACACACACACCCCTATCTTGAAGTGACTTGTCACATTCTGTATTCTTTTCAAGTCAACTAGCTCTACTAAAAGGTATGTAATTATCTCAGTGGACAGTTTACTTCTTGATTACATTTCTGTATGTACATTTTCAAGTAGAGCATTAACAATCTTAAAAGAGACTGTTCTCAAATTTTGTAATCTTCAAAGATAAAAAGGGCTTTATATACCTACTTCAATTACTTTCACTTTTTGTTCTCTTTTTAAAGACTCTTTATATAGGCTAATGCCCTTTAATTCAACCAGACTCAACCATTATGTGACATGAGAAAGGACCATGGAGAGAACAAAGTACTGAAGGAAAAAGGAAAGGGAATCTACCAGTGCAGAGTGATCTTATTCATTATTCAGCTGGGCTTTCTATTAAGTGGTTCTTAAATTAAATGTCCATTAATGAAAATGAAAAACTATTGATACTATAAATATACATGTATATTATTTATCATCTCTGCCTACTCCTAATATAATTTCTTCACTTTTCAGACCCAAAAGCTTTGGTTGTGGTATGAACCCATAAACTATCTGGTGCACAACTCTCTCCCTCCGGTGTACTCAAACTGTGGTGAAGTTTTTGACAGTAAATTCTCTTAAAAGCATTCACTCCTAATCCTCATTTTATCCTCCTTTTAGTTGTACATGCTATTAATTGGCTCATCTAATCCTTGTAACCCAGACTAGACAAGATTCCTTATTATATGTTTTCTAACCTTGTGATTATCAAAATCACCCAGAAAGCTTTTCTGGAGTATAGATTCTGACCTTATAATGTTCCCCATTCAGTAAGTCTTAGATGGCACAGCCAGATTTTGAAACCAATACTTTAGATTATATGTGGAGATAACATACCAAACATATTAAAAACTAGAGGCCTGATGCACGACATTTATGCACTGAAGGGAGCCCCTCAGCCTGGCCTATCGCAGTCCGAAACCCACGAGGGGTCCTTAGTGCTGCCGCAGAGGTGCGAGAAGCTCTCGCCAGTGCTGCTGCACTCCCCAGCCGTGAGCCCAACTTCTGGCTGAGCAGCGCTCCCCCTGTGGGAGAGCACTGACCACCAGGGGGCAGCTCCTGGGTTGAGTGTCTGCCCCATGGTGGTCAGTGCATGTTATAGCAACCAGTTGTTCGGCCTTTTGGTCAATTTGCATATTAGGGTTTTATTATATAGGATAAGAACATAAGAACCTAAATGCTGATCTTTCCCCACCATCCACCAAATAAATGAATACCACTTTGGGGGGGAGGGGGGCGCGACTGGTTTCATTTATTAAGACTCTAAAACAGAATGTCAATAGTGTAATAGCCAGTTAAAAGATTATTAATTATACTAAGAATATTGAATTATTCCATTTATAACTGGGAATTGAACTTTAAAAAAAGATAATAATATATACTAGGTTTCATAACAGTTTCATCTCAGCATTTTAGGATATAAACACATTAGTGGTATGAATACAATTTTTAATCAGAATGATTACAATCATACTCATTAAAACTTTCCAAATAAGTCTAATATTTATTTTTCTTTAGTACTTTGAACACAGCAAATCAAGTTAATATACTTTTTTTAAAAAAAATATATTTTACTGATTTGTACAGAGAGGAAGGGAGAGAGATAGAGAGAGTTAGAAACATCAATGAGAGAGAGAGTCATCGATCAGCTGCCTCTTGCACACCCCCTACTGGGTACATGCCCTTGACCGGAATCAAACCGAGGACCTTTCAGTCCGCAAACCAACGCTCTATCCATTGAGCCAAACCGGTTTTGGCATCAAGTTAATATACTTTAATATTTGCTTTTACATCTCAAAATACCCAGATAAAAATGATTTGAGAACTAAAATGATATTTCTACCCAGAGGCAGAAGGAACAAAGCTTATGGAATTTTTAAAGTACCATCAATTTAATTCGTTTCCTTAAAAATAAAGAAACAAACAGGTAAGGTACATTAAGGTGCATTGCACTAATCAATGTATTAAAAGGATACACTGTAAACAAAACTTCCGGATATGTGACTGAATAAAATCAAAATGTTCATCTTTGTAGTCATGTTCTTTCTCCAATACACTAATGGCATCACACTGTTGGGTTGAAATAATTTAAAAAACAATGCATTAAATAATCAAGTTTAAATATAATGACTTAAACAGTTCAATTTTGAGTGGGGGAATATCATAAAACTATCACTTTGAACCTAAAGACCTAGAATATCAATTACTCCTATTTGTCTAGAGCCATTTACTTGGAATCTTAAGACTAATAAATAATTTTATTTATTTAAAAGGCATTAAATTCAAAGTTATACTGAATGTGGTGAAAACACTAAAGAGAAAGTTTTAGTACAGAACAAGACAAGCTTAAAATACTTGCTAATTCAACTATTTATGTCCTAGCACAAAGTTTTTAAGATCTAAAATCTATTCTAGTTCTATAAAACACTGTGTTCCCAGGGAGTCTGCATCTCTTACTATTTCCTTTTTGTCCTCTGTTTATCTGATAACTCTTGTTGATCTTCATTTCTCTTCTGGTGCCTTTTCACTCTCACTACAATTTCACCAATAGCAAAAACTGGGGGAGATTACAGGCTATTTTTAAAATGTCGCCTGTATAATCAATGAAACAAATTCTAGATTCTACTCGCTACAGAAAAATGTTACCGGAAAAAAGGCATGTTCAAATATTTCACCAAAACCTTTCTGAATTGAAGGTATAAAATCTAAATATAAACACTCAATAATGCTAATTATACCTAATAATAGTGGCCCCGTCCACGAAATTCATGCACATTAAAAGGGAATTAGAGGAAATGTTTTAATATTGCTATTTGCCCTTTCTTTGTAATAGAAGTGTCAGAGATGAAAGAAAATTAGTAAAATGTATATGAAAATCTCCCTCCTGTCAGAGTCTGGGGCTCGGCACAGGACCTAGAGTCAAGTCCCCCCTACCACCCGCAATGCACTTGAAAAACGCCAGAGACCCAGGCCTGGCTGGCTCCACCCTATTGGGTGAGACCCCAGACCCTTCTGGCCCTACCTCTGTCAAGCCCTTCCGGGTGCCCCTTCCCTCAGTCTCAGGTCCCCTATCAAGCCCCCAGGGCGGGGAGGCACCGGCCAGGAGCCATGCAGCCTCAGGTCTCTGCTGTTCAGTCATGACGTTATGGCGTCTGGACTAACCACATATTCCTCTATTGTATAGATAGATTAGTTTGGGGTCAAATTTGATATGTAAAGAAATCTTTACAAAAATAAAAGGATCTAGATCTAAGGCAAGAAGCTTAGTCTCTCTGAATCTCAATATCTAGTTTTTAAGCCCTGTGGAACTACCATTCTTCATCCACCCCAGCATACACATTCTCCCATCCCCCTACACATTTTAAAAGCTCTTAAACTGAAGAACACTTGATGGTGTTTTAGATTCTGTGAAATATAGTAGATGATCTCTTCTGGCTTGAAAGTTTTATGCATCTATAACATTATTTAACGATTCAGATTCCTTTAGGCTTAACAGTTTTCTCCTTTGGAAATTTATGAAGGAAGTTATTGTATAATTAGCAGGAAAATATCTGCGCATAAACAACTCTTTGCCAAACAAAACAAAAACAAATCACTCACAAGAGGATTCTAGTGTGACAGTTTAAAAATAGTCTTAAAGAAAAGGTATAAGTAACAATTAACTAAAACAGATTATCATCTGAAAAGCAGATAACAGACTTGATTTAAATACTACCTTTCCAAAATTGTTATTGATAAATTCTGTAGTGTTTAAAGTAAAATTTAAGCTAGATTAAATTTTTTTATCATTTTTATCCCCAAGATGAATAAATTCCATACCCTCCAATTATACATGCAAATTTTATGTATTACAAAAAATATTACTAATTTTAGAGCTCGAAAGGGTTTATTTGTTCTGTCATTTTCTTAACTATTCCATGACTTATAGAGAAGATAAACTTGATATATAAATAATTTTTAAAGGAAATTTGACTTTATTATAAAGTGTATATAGTGACAGATTAAATGAACAGAATTTTGATTTTAGCAATCCTCTCAGAACCTCTTTATTAAATAAGTAAAAAGCCCCTGGTAACTGCATATTAACTTCACATATGAGTGCTTAAAAGCCTATTTTATTTTAGGCATTAAAAATAGATGTTTAAAAGTCTGGCTTTTTTTTTTTAAAGTATGTAATCTCATATTAGGATATTAGTATTACAACATTTAATGTGGAAAATTTATAAAAATTAATAATTAACTTATCATCTTACCTGTGTTTATTTCTTTAAACTGACTGTATAATGAAGTCTAATTAAAATTTGGGAAATGATATTCAACTACAAAGAGAATATCCAAAGTAACGTTTTCTTTCAAAGAAACTATGATCAAGATCATAAAACCAACATGTAAATATCACTCAATTATTTTAAACCATTATTTATATTTAAGAAATCTAGGGAAAATAATGTGTCAACTCCAAAAGAGGTTTGGGAAACAAAACAGCTGTTCATCCTTGGTCAATATCAGTAAGATAATCTCTAGGAAGCAAACAAACCTTTGTGCAAACTACTAGTACTGGAATGCCCAGGTTGTGTGTAAGTGTATCCGCACCCAGGGGTAAAACCACACTGTCGTCTTTGTCTTCCTGTGACATGGTATTTCTTCTCTGAGGAGAGGCTGGGAAATCTTCTCCTGGCTCTACATATTCTTGAAAGTCTCTAATCACTGAAAATCAAAGTAAATAATTTAACACATAGTTTAGAAATTGCTTTATTTCAGCAGGTATCTTCTTCTACCATAATCTAAATGTATATGTTACTAGAGTTTGTGTAAAAGAACAAAAAGGATTTGTGAAAACTATTTCAAGAATACAGAAACACTGACCCCACATTAATTATTAGGAGGCAGAATACAACAGTGAATAGCTCTAAAGGGTGGGATTCGCTGAAACCGGTTTGGCTCAGTGGTAGAGCGTCGGTCTGCCGACTGAAAGGTCCCGGGTTCGATTCCGGTCAAGGGCATGTACCTTGATTGCGGGCACATCCCCAGTAGGGGGTGTGCAAGAGACAGCTGATTGATGATTCTCTCTCATCCATGTTTCTAACTCTCTATTCCTCTCTTTTCCTCTCTGTAAAAAAATCAATAAAATATATGTTTTTTTAAAAAAAGAGTGGGATTCAACATAGGCATAGTTTAGTTTGCACAAATTACTTTAGGCAAGTCATAATCTAGCTTTGTCTATCTTCTCTTATTCACAATGAGTACTGAGAAAGGATAAAAGAATAATATATGTGTGAGGATTGGGGAAGATAGGGGGCAGGGAGAATTCCACAATGACAATCCTAGATGATTTTCTAAATATTAGCTTCCTTCTCAAAACCCTTTATTCAGATCTTCTTTTTACACAGGCGCAATCTTGGGCCACATTCATTCATTAACCCTGGTGAGAATTAATGAAGTATTACCAACACTGATAAACTTTTACAACTCATTTGCAAGATTTCAAAATCTTCACTTAAAACAAGGTGAATGTATGAAGAGCCTAAACAATATATACTTTGACTCAGTAATTATTCTTTGAGGAATTCTCAAAGAAACAACCAGTGATTCCTATATTAGACTGGGATTCCCATATAAGACTGCTTCTCATGTTTAAAAGCAAAACAAATTATCCACAGCATAGGATTAAAACAGTATATGAGCCGAAACAGGTTTGGCTCAGTGGATAGAGCATCGGCCTGCAGACTGAAAGGTCCCAGGTTCGATCCTGGTCAAGGTCATGTACCTTGGTTGCGGGCACAACCCCAGTAGGAGGTATGCAGGAGGCAGCTGGTCGATGTTTCTCTCTCATCGATGTTTCTAGCTCTCTATCCCTCTCCCTTCCTCTCTATAAAAAAATCAATAAAATATATTTAAAAAATAAAACAGTATATGAGGGAATATTATACAGAGATATAAAGGAAGAAAGTATCTTAAACATACATAGTGTCAAGGAAGAGGGAATCCTGAACACCTGAGTACAGTCCCTTCAAGAACAAAGGAATATGCATTTACCCTCCTTAGCAGCTCTGGTAACTAACCTTTAAACCAAAGGCTGAAATCTAACAGTGCTTCTCAAGTTTTAGCAAGTACTTGAGTTTCTGATTTAGTATTCTGGGTTGGCGCCTAAGAATGTGTATTTTCTGACTAGCTCCCAGCTGTACTGATACTGATGCTCGTAGTCCTGGGACCACTGCTATAGTATAAATTTAGAGAGGGGTAACAAAAAGCCAAAGAAGCCGAAACCGCTTTGGCTCAGTGGATAGAGCGTCGGCCTGTGGACTGAAAGGTCCCAGGTTCGATCCCGGTCCAGGGCATGTACCTTGGTTGCGGGCACATCCCCAGTGGGGGGTGCGCAGAAGGCAGCTGATCGATAATTTTCTCTTATCGATGTTTCTAACTCTCTGTCTTTCTCTCTTCCTCTCTGTAAAAAAAATCAATAAAATATATATATATATATATATTTTTTTTTTTTTTTTTTTTATTTTTTTTTTTTTTTAAAGAAAAGAAAAGAAAAGCAAAAGCAATGGCCAACAGGAAAGAAAGGTATAGATCAATTGTCGGCAAACTCATTAGCCAACAGAGCAAATATCAACAGTACGATTGAAATTTCTTTTGAGAGCTGAAAACCGACTTCTGTGCATGGGCCACGAAGTTTCAATCACACTGTACATACGCGCCCACACGTGGTATTTTGTGGAAGAGCCACACTCAAGGAACCAAAGAGCCGCATGTGGCTCACGAGCCACAGTTTGCCAACCACTGGTTTAGATTAACAGCTAGACATCTTTTTCAATGATTTAGAACATATAATCTTAAGTTTTTTGTTTCCTTGCATGTAAATTACAATAAGTGTCAATTTTCCCCAAAAAGTTATTATAAACTAACAATAACAAAGAAAAGCAGTATTCCATCTGTATATCTTTTTAAGCAGAGTAAAACATTGACAAATGAAGTGCTCTTGATGAAATTCAGAACTGTGGCAAGAAGCCGGTTTAGCTCAGTGGATAGAGCGTTGGTCTGTGGACTGAAAGGTCCCAGGTTCGATTCCGGTCAAGGGCATGTGCCTTGGTTGCGGGCATATCCCCAGTTGGGGGTGTGCAAGAGGCAGCTGATCGATGATCTCTCTTATCGATGTTTCTAACTCTCTATCCCTCTCTCTTCTCCTCTAAAAAATCAATAAAAAAAATGTTTAAAAAAAAAAGAACTGTGGCAATTGGTTTATAGTTAAAATGACATCATTTCCATAATATCCATGAAAACTTCCAATTTACATGGGCATGTACAAAATATATTATGTACTTTTCTGAATAAAACCAGCTTAATATCTTTATACAAGGTATCCCCCCAAAAAATGTATATTCACTTTGAATAATTGTAAAGGCCATGTTTATTAAAATACATTTCATTTTCAAGATGTAATAGAATCTATAGATATTGTGTGTATACTTTTTTGAGACACCCTATATTTGGGTTGTTAACATCTTTTTGGACATATTTCATTTTGACAAGGTTGATAAGATTGTTCTGCTTATCAAGAAGTGAACTGCTGAAAATGAGCAGCTGAAGGATTCAAATTTTTAGATCTTGAAAACAACTTTTCAAAATGAACACATATGGCCTTTTGGCAAAGGAGCTAAGGCTCCTCTACAAAAGAGTCTGCCATTCTGTAGACATTTCTAATTTAAAACTACACTGAAATCTAGCATAGCATTTAAGCTGAATTTCAAAAACAGAACTCACATTGTATTTCTTACATTAAACTTTATTCAAAATAAAAAAAAAAAATCCCAAAAATTATGATTGCCAGTTAGGAAATTTGCTTTTGAAATCTATATTAGTATTTCTAGACTACTCACACTTTTGTTCCATTTCTTTCATTTCTTCAGGAGGAATTTTCAATTTGTCTATATGTTCTCTAACAACACTTGCCCATTTCTGTAAAGAATCCAAAGCAGTCCAAGGCTTTGACATATCAACAACCAGCATAATCAGAGTGTCATTCAGGGAAATGGCATCCAATGAAAATTTAAGGAGGCCCTTGTGATACAGATCTCCATCTAAGATCCACACATTACATCTTGTTTGATCTACAACAGAGAAAGGAAAGTTACCAAGGCAACAGGATTAAGTTATTTCATCATCCAACTAACAATACTTGGTATTTTAGATCATCTCCACAGGAGATGCCTCTTTTAACAAAGTTCAACTACTTAGGTCACATCTACCAATTTAGTAAAGGCCTGTCAAATATTCAGGGAAATGATTTAACTGCCAACATGGAACCTCAGCATCCTCTACTTCATATTTCTTAATCCCAAATCACAGACTGAATAACATGTTGCTATTCTTACCATCAGCAGATAGAGCCATGCATATTCAAGATATTATTTATAAAAATGAGAAGGCAAGTGATCTATAGAAGAAAAAAATGGTTGATCAGATAAGAAAAGCTGGGAAGATGACATTTTTATGTCAAAAAATGAAAAGGAGATAAAGGGGTGAGCAAACAATCATGGGATACTATTATTTCATCATCGGAGGAAAAATAAACTGAAAACTGATATTTTCAATGATAGCAAGAAAGCAGGTCTGCACACCAGAGTACATTAAGATGTTTAAAAGTATGACTCTATGACTCCCAATCCCAAACCAATAGATATGACTAAACATAACTATTTACTGATTGGCACGATATAGTAGGACTCTTAATGAAAAATGGCACACTCAAGACTAATATGAGCAGCAGTGCACCTTGGGAAAGAGTTCAGAAAACTTAGGTTACAAATAGATGATATTCACCATCCCTGTCTTCATCGTGAACATTTAAGTACAAATATTCCAATCCTCTTCCTTTCTTGTACTCCTCTATTCCCTGAATTTTTCTTATTAAGCTTGTTTTTCCAGCTCCATCTTCACCTGTAAAAAAAGAAATCTTTTAAATTATAATATGGAACACACATACAGGCAAATGCTTTCTGTTGCTAAGTGAAAAACCTAATTGCAACTAGCTTCAACCAGAAAGATAAGTTGATGGAAAATAATCAGGAAACTATAGAGTAGAAGAGGCAGATGTTGCCTCCAGGATTTTCTCTCCCAGTGTCCCTGTTTCTCTTGTCAAGTCTCTAGGACTATCCTATTACAAATGGCTTCCTCTGTGGGGTTTTTTTCAGGAAGCTCAACTCTTATGTCATCACAGTTTAATTTATAAGGAACAAAATACCCTCAGCTTTCAGTTTGAAGAAATTCGAGTAAACACTCTTAAAAATATTAATAACAAAACACTCATATGATTTAAACTTGGCACAAGTTTTAAAAGTTTAAAACTAGGCTAGCTATCCAATATTTTGGTAAGAATTTTTTTAAATTGTGAATTTATTTAAATACTACATGTTACTGTTTCATAAACTTATTTTTATTAGCAATATTATGTTAATAGTAGTTTCTTGGATCTAAGGACTTATTCCTGGAGATTCATGAGTTCTCTGAGAATTTAAAAATTGTTTTCATTTTCATGTTAAGTTTTTTTTTTTTTTTTAATTATATATATCTTAGATCTTCTGAATGACCATCTTTAAATCTAAATGCTGCAACAAGACTGCAGTACCCACCTCTGCATTGGTATTTATAACCCTACTGTGCCAAGCTGAGACAGAACAAGTATGCCAAACTAAAAAAAAATGTCATAGAGCTGTCAGTTCTATATTCTGTTGTAATGGCCAGACTGGTTCTTTTTATGAACCACCCTCTAACACTTCATAGCAATAAATAGCTTTAAATAGATAATAAAGAACTTTCCATGAAATGAGTACTTATTTTTTAGCACTATTATTGCAGTGTACTATTAAAATGGCCCATCAAAAAAATAGATTGGGTTGTAAACATTAATATGCATGATAATGACAATGATTCCTATGATGATCCATAATGCTTATAAATGGAAATAATAAAGTAAATCAGGGAAAAGTAAAATACATAAATATTGATGTCTACTATTAAACCCAAATGGCATTTAATTTCAATAAGACATCATTTGTTTTATTTATTTATATAAAGGAGCGGGGATTATTTTTTCCGTCAATTTTAGAGAGTGGAAGAGAACACTGAGGGGAAGAAAGAGAAACATTGATGTGGGATCAGTTGCCTCCCCAACTCGGGGCAGGATAGAACCTATAACCCAGGTACATGTCCTTGACAGAGAATCAAACCTGAGACCATCCAGTGTGCAGGCTGACACTCTAACCACTGAGTACACTGGCCAGGGCAGCTCTATAGTTTTAATGGCATTTAATTTATAATTCATTTTAGCTTTGTAATTGTTCAAGAACTATAAACAAAAAGAATTTAAAGAATTTGTTTCTATTCACCTCAATAGGCATGAAAATGAGACATAAAAATAATTTAAATCAGTGGGTAAGGAGGTCTATGAAAACCATTAAAAAGAGTCTAAGTAGGCAGAGTAGAGGCCTCTTATGGCCTGTAATAGTTTCACTATTCTGTATGGACTACAATGTTAGATACATTTCATTATACATTTGTGAAAACTATATAATGTACAACACCATGAGAGAACCCTCTTGTAAACTATGGACTGCAGGTGATAACTGAAAGGTTAAAGTGAATAGGATCTGTCTAACAATAACGTGTCAATGTTAGTTCATTGATTGTGATAAAGGTAATAAATGCGACACTGTGGGATGTCGATAATGGGGGAAGTTTTGCAAATGTGGGAACAGGGAATATTCAGAAACTCTTTGTGCTTCCCACTCAACTTTCCTGTGAACCTAAACCTGCTCTAAAAAATAAAGTTTATTAACTTAAAAAAGAATCATGGCTTTTCTTATGGCAGGTTACTTTCCTGAAAGGAATCCTCTGAGTGAAAATGGCACCAATTGAAAAATGATTATCCCACAGAAGCAATGTTATGTACTGCAAGCAAAAACTTAATGCCCAGATTTATGATAGAAGCTTACATCAACAATAGAATGTTCAACAAGAATTTTCTTAAGTATATATAGATTCATAAAAATAGGCAGTAATTATATTTAACTTCATTTAAGTTGACACAAGATTTACCTTATGTCTTTTTTTTTTTTTTTACCTTATTTCTTTAATTTTCAGTTTAGATATTAGAAAGTAAAAAGATACCTTAAAAACAATAAAAAAATAAAATAAAAACTTCAGATGAAATGGGGACCCTAGGATGGACAAAAAAAAAAATGGAGGGCCCTGACTGGTTTGGCTTGGTGGATAGAGCGTCGGCCTGCGAACTCAAGGGTCCAAGGCTCGAGTCCGGTCAAAGGTGCCTACCTTGGTTGTAGGCACATACCCAGTGGGGAGTGTGCAAGAGGCAGCTGATAGATGTTTCTCTCTCATCGATGTTTCTGCTCTCTACCTCTCTCCCTTCCTCTGTAAAAAATCAATTTTTTATATATTTTTTTTTTTTTTAATTTTTTAAAAAGGTGAAGGAGGTTAAGAGATGTAAATTTCCAGTTATAAAATAATTAGGTCCTGGGATATAATGTACAGCATATGAAATATAGTCAGTAATATTGTAATAATTTTGTATGGTGATAGTTACTATACTCATGGTGATCACTTCATAAGGTACATTAATGTTAAATCACCATGTTGTACATCTGAAACTAATGTACTTCAATAAAAAAAGAAAGAGAATAAGTACTAGTATACACATCGCTGCACATGAACTCCAGGAGAATCTTCATGCATGACTTCAATATACCTACCACCTATAACCTAGTGACCCCAGATTTCCTTCCAGCCCTAGCCTCTCCTGAACTGCTTGCTAGCTCTAACTATTTGGATGTCCCATAAATACCTCAAAATCTCAACATGCACAAAAGCAGTATCATTATTTTGGCACCTTTCCCCAACACACTCACTTAAGTAATTACTAACATAAGACTCCAACCTCAAGGCCTTTAAAGCCACTGTTTCCTCTACCTAGAACAGTGGTCGGCAAAACACGGCTCTCGAGCCACATGCCTCAATCAGATTGAGGACATTTTTAGCAAAGGCCAGCTTAGGAGTATCCTAATTAAGTTAATAACAATGTGCCTACCTATATAGTTTCAGTTTAAAAAATGTGGCTCTCAAAAGAAATTTCAATCGTTGTACTGTTGATATTTGGCTCTGTTGACTAATGAATTTGCTGACCACTGGCCTAGAACATGCTCTCTTCAGAAATCCAAATGTTGTTTAACCTTCTTCCTATCTTCCCCAACTATCACTTCCCTAACCACCCAATTTAAAATCACAATCACCTGACATTCCTATGTGCCTTCCTGTATGTTTTATTTTTTTTCATTGAACTTACAAACATAATACATATTTTACTTAGTCACTCCCTACCCCCAAAAGCTCCAGAGGAACAGGCATTTTGTGTTTTGTTTGCTGCTGCAGCCCCAGTGCCCAGAGAGTGCCTGTGACTAAATCAGCTTTAATGGCCAAACCATTTAAGAAACAAAAGTCACTGAATTCCAAGTTATTTATAAAACAGCACGTAGTACCTAATAGTTTGAGGAGTTAAAAGAAAACAACAAACTACATATGTACTTCATTTATGCAATTAATATACCTTTCAAGTGGCAAGTAGTGCAATGGAGCCTGAGTGATTTCAAACATTGATGAAAGAATTCATCAGCCGATTGTCAATCAACTGTAAGAAAGCTTTATCTTCAGTTCCTGGGCCTTCAGCTGGCAGTGAAACAGACATACCAGCTTTACACGTACCAGCCAAATAGTTAATGATCTGTAAACATACACTACCACAAGCAGAGAGTACCTACTTACACAAGCTAATGTAAAAGTCCTTCTAATAAAGCAAATAATCCTTTAGAGATGATGTTAAAATTATTCTCTAAATATTTTTATCTAAATTTGCACTTATACTAAATTTTCTTAAAGAAGGATACATTTGGCTCAGTGGCTAGAGCATCAGCCTGCTGACTGAATGGTCCCAGGTTCAATTCTGGTCAAGGGCATGTACCTTGGTTGCAGGCACATCTGCAGTAGGGGGCATGCAGGAGGCAGCTGATCCATGCTTCTGGCTCTTTCTCCCTCTCCCTTCTTCTCTGAAAAAAAAATCAATAAAATCTATTTTTTTTAAAAAGGATATCTTTAAAACAAATCAAAACATTTCATTAGATCAAATTCTATTCTAATAAAGCCATTTTCACGCCCTCATCCCAGTATTGGGAAATTTTTCCTATAAAGGACCAGGTAGCAAATATTTTAGGCTTTGCAGGTTACATAAGGTCTCTGTCACATATTCATCTTTTTGTTTTCCCACAACTCTTAAAAATGTGAATAAACAAACCCCATTCTGAGCTTGCTGGCCACATAAAAACAGCATACAGGCCAAAGCATGTCCCAGTTCGGAGAGCAAAGGAGGAAAGGCTTTTTAATCAGATTACAGTGAAATTCTCCATAGCAAATAAACCTGTATTCCAAATTTGTCTGAACCCAGTCCAAATTAGTCACTCTCTGTGAGCCAAGTATAAGATCCAAGTATTTCAGTTTTACCATAAAGCAATAACAGCCATCAATTCTCACTTCTTCGCTCAAATTTGAAAGCCAAATTAATTATAAAAGAAAATCTCCTTAAACAGTCACCAAAATAGTATAGGAGAAAAGGTATGCTCATAATATTGTTTTATCTCCCCAACAGATCTCTAATTCAACAACAGGATGGAATGTCCATAAACTTTACAATGATAACTATCAAACAGATTAAAAACAAAAAGATTAAGATATAATTTCTAACTGCAACATTGTACCATTATTTGAATGAACCTGGACAAATCAGGTATTTCCGTTTTTGTGTGTGTGTGTGTGTGTGTTCCGAAATAGAGGTGGTAAAACCAGACAATTCCTATGGTGATGGATTTAAAGTTCAA